TGTATATGCCCGATCGAAAACCGACAGGACAACGGACTCGTGGCCCGGTGAGTATAGGCGTTGACTTCTAAACCAACAGGTCGCAAGTTCGAGGCTCGGGTGTTCCACACTTCGGGCTTGGGTATGGCTGGCTGACGACGGCTAATAAGCCAGAAATGGCCATTCCAGTCTCCCTTGTCTTTGTCGGTAATATCATTCTGCATATATATATATATATATATATATATTTCGAAGTCGAATGTGTGCTTTGGGAAAGGAAGTTTATTATGCAAATTTTCGACGCCGGTTCCCCGAGTCGTCGTCAGGCACAGACGGAAAGCAAATGCGCCAACACAGCTAACATCTTAAGTGCACGTAAAAAATCGATAATCGTTTGACGCTCACGCCAGTAAGCGTCCGTCGTGTGTGTCAGTCCGTTCTGATTGGTCCTCGCCTTTTCCATCTCTCCTTGAGATTTCTGTACGCGGCATCCAACTCGATGTGCCGGTTGATGCATGATTCGTCTGAGTGCATGGCCTCAAGGAACTCTCGGCCTTTCTTTGAGGGGCACACGGCGACAATGCGAGTTTTCTCCCAAGCGAAAATGTGCCGGGTGTCCAGGGTGTGCAAGGCCACTTGAGACAGATGGTCTCGCCTCTTCACTGCCAACTGGAAGGTAGGCATCGCAAAAAATATAAGCCAAAGGCGTTCTTTAGGAAAAGGAAGTTTATTTCGTGAATTCTTTACACCGGTTCATGAGGTCGTCGTCAGATGCAGACGATGAGCAAATGTGTTGATATTAATTAAAATCTGGAAGTGCATTTGAAAATCGACACAGGAACATGACGGTGTTGAGTTTGCGCCCGGAAGTCAACTGAGTGAACTCAGTTCTGCCGATAGCACCGCCTTACTAACTTCACGTTTTGATGATCTGCTGTCCCTGGCGTCACGGGTGAATGAGGGTTGCTAAACCGGCCGGTTTGTCCATAAACACTCGGAAAACCAGTGTTGTCAGGCTGCATACCTGGCAAGGGCAAAACACCTCTCGAATTGATGGCCGTCAAATGAAGGAAGTAGACAGTTTTAAATACCTTGGGGCGAGACTGCTGCCGAATGGACAAAGTAAGGACGAATTATCTCCCGATTTGATTTCACCCGCCGGGTTTTCTCAGACCTTAAAAAATGCCCATGAATCCGGCGCGACATCTCCATCATCATTAAGATTCGCTTGTACAGTGCATCTGTCCGGTCTGTCCTTCTCTATGGTTGTGAATGCTGGGTTTGGCGTAAAAAGGTCCTGTTCTCGCGAACTAACGAGTTATATCTCACGAGCCCCTAACCTTAAAAGCAGCAAGTAAAACTGAGCAGTGAACAATACAGAGATTTTGAACGTTAAGTAACCTAACAACAGAGCACGACAACGGGGCACGTTAGCAATGCGGGTTGTACAGGTGTGTTGTTTCTCGTCACATTCAAACAAGCGCTCCCGTCAAAGAAAATGGGACTAAATTGTCAAAGGTAAATTTGTCCGGTACCTCACCACAAGCTTCTTGCGTGGAATATGAGCGAAAACTGGAGGAGCGTCATTCGAGTGAGGCACACCGACTTCGTTTCAAATGAGGTGATCCGCACTCACGGCAAAAACATCGCAATGAAAACCTAGGTTATACAATGAAGACGAATGAGGTGGTTTGAGAACGCTCTACGTCGTCCACCTCAGGAGCTCAGTGCCACTATCCTCCATCTGACACCCTCACCCCGTTGGAGGCGTCGAAGTGGGAGTTAACCCAAAACCTGGCTCGACACGGCTCGTCAAGTCATGGAAGTGGTTCCCGGAC